GCCGCGCGCGGCCCCCCGCTTCCGCCTCCATCCCGCGCGCCGCGCCAGGCCAGGCCGGAACTTCCGGGTCGCAGGTCCGCGGCCAAAGGGTCCCCCCCGCGCGGGGGGGGGGAAACGTGACCCGGGCACGTTAGTTCCGGGGCACGTCCGTTCCGCGGGGATGTGGGGAAGGGTCATTGTGTGTCAGTCAAAGGGGGGAGCTTGGGGGGGCGGGGAAGGGTCAGTGTGTGTCAGTCAAAGGGGGGAAATGGGGGGGGCAGCCCCCCACCCCCACATCATCCGCCCAGGGCAGCGGTGGCTGCCGGGGGGGCTCTCTACAGATAGAGGCAAATCCCGCTGCAGGGGGACTTGGCCCCAGGCCCTGCAGGGATTCGATATTTGAGGGGGGGCTCCCCCAGCTCACAGCCCCCCCTGGACTAACGCCTGCCGCTGGCTGAAGGCCTGGCCAAGGGTAAATTAACCACTGGAACAACTTACCCAGGGATCGTGGCTTTTCCATCAAGCCAGGATTGGTCCCCACCCAACGATCTGCTCCCGTTCCAACAGGAATTAACACCCAGACGTTCTCAGGCTTGTTGTACAGGAGGCGAGACCATCGCAGTGGTCCCGGACCGCTCAGGCTTTATAAACTGTGAAATCCCAGGGAAAATACACCTGCGGGGAGGAGGTGGCAGTACAAACTGCAGGAGAACCCAGCTGAAAACCCCATTTACAGTAGACTGGGCCGTAGTATGCATTCAATCAAGGGCTACTAGCTAAGATGGTCAGGAGGACAACCCCAGGCCCTGGCTGGTTATAAACCTCTGACTGCCAGGATCTAGGAGTGGACAACAGGGGATGGATCACTCAGGTGCCCTGTCCGTTCATTGCCTTTGGAGCATCTGGCACCGGTCGTTATCGGAAGACAGGACCCTGGGCTAGATTGACCATGGGTCTGACCCAGTCTGGCTGTTATGTTCAGATGGAGATACTGCCGCACAGGGAAGTGAGCTGGTGGCCCCTCTGATTGTCGGAGGGAAGAGAGCAGGGGGAATCTATACTTTTTGGTGGACAGGTTACCCACAACAGGCTTTGCTGAGCGAGCAGGCTTCCCGTGACATGCATGTTCTATTCCCCTTAAAGGTGACACAAGCTACCTCCAAGCTCTTATACCAGGCTTTTCATCTCAGTAGCTCTCTCTGTGCTTTACCAGGGAGGTAAGTGTCAAAACGCAGCTCCATTCTGAGACAGAGAGTGCATTGCGCGAGGAGCAGGAGAGATTTTCACATCCAGGGCATCTTATCTGGCTAGTGCCTCCATCACATATTATGCTGGTTCGAATGATCCCACGGGCTCAGTTCCAGCTGTGCACACAAGGAACCTTCCCAGAAGACTCTGTCCTCCCCGTGTTTATAAACTTAACCCATTTAGCAAGAGCAGGGCTCACTGCAGCTTGGTCTGCCTCCCTCACCTCCCCCCCAGGAAGGGAGCTGTTTTAATAACAAGAGAGCCAGTGATCTATAAAGAAGAGAGGGGCTATAACTGCTGGCTAGTGGTGTAGGCTCGGAAGGAGCAGATCACTGCGAAAGGTCAATTTCACTGCACACCCCCACTATCAAAAAAATATTTCCATCAATAAAAATGTACAGCTAGGCAAGAAAGAAAAATGCTGCTTGAGAACTTAGAATCTGATTCAAGAAATTTACTTTGTATATTTTGACCATTTGTTTTAACAGATATAAAGCACTAACTGTCTGACCCTCCACGGCTCTCATTCAATAACTGTCTGACCCTCCACGGCTCTCATTCAATAACTGTCTGACCCTCCACGGCTCTCATTCAATAACTGACCCTCCCCCCAGCATTTCCCCAAACAGTGAAAATCTACATCCCTAAAACCAGAAAAAAAGGCTTTAAAATAAACAGACATCTGTTGAAATTATAAAAAACAAAAAATCCAATTCTGCCAAGTTTATAGACGCGCTAGGTTCCTTAAGGTACCTCCATGCAGCTCCTGTCCAATCCGTGATCTCGGCCTGGTCTTGGACATTTGGTGTGTCTAAGGAAATAATAAGGCTTTTTCTCCGTTCTACGAGTGTGAATCTGCACAGGGCCCATCCCAGCCCCCAGCATGGGTACAAGCCAGTCCTGGTTTTACACACGCTGCCCGGCTCGAGGTCTGAATCTGTCTGATCTGGGGCTGCTCACAAGATCTTGGCAGAGCAGCTGTGCAACAAGCCCAGGCCTCACTCCGTTATTGAGCTGCACAGCTTGGGTGGTCATTTACCCCAGTGGCAAGAGGGCCAAGGGAAAACGGGGACGCTGCACTGGTATGTGACAAAACAACTAGGGTGGTGGTGAATTGAGCCTCTGGTGTCCAAAAGCACTAGGTGGCTTTTACTCAAGGATTTGAAAAGGGATGCAAGAAAATTTAAAATTCCTGGGCCACACCAACTGGGGATCTGGCCCCATATTTTAAGAGAGAGAGACCCTTAACTATTAAAAACAAGGACACTTAAAAATCTAGTTAACTTTCCCCTGTTTATGCCACTTAGTTTGCATTTCACTAAGCCTAGGTAATGAACAGATGTGTCAAATTTCACATTAGTTTATAAACAAGCCAAGGAGATGGAGCTAATCCATTTCTCTCTTTTTGGGAAACACAGCCAGGAAAGGCGCCTTCTTGAAAAACAAACTTCCTTTGAAAAAGCTTTTTCCGAAACTCTCCCTGGATATATCTCTGAGTGACATTACGGTTTTGTAAAAAGCTGTTTTGAAAAGACACTTTTCATGCATAAATCGGCTGAAGTGTTCTTCTGATTGAAGTTTAGATGGTTTAGCAGCAGCTTGTACACAAGAGCTGTGGCAGACAGATAATGGGATCCATTAGCTAGATACTGCCTGCTATTTTCCATAAAGTGGAGGCTTAGGATGGGACATGTTAACGATCAAACAGATTTTTTTTTTTAAACCCCCGGAGGATTTATGAAAGGGGGAAAAGAAAAACACCAAGACATTAAAGTTCAATATTCACTCTTTCTCCAAATACAAAAAGCTGTTACAATTCAACTCAAAACAAAGCATGTGCAAAGTGACAGAAACTTAGACATTGTATAAAAAGTTACACATTTAAGATGGTTTCTTTTATTTCTCACCTGGATTGAGCAAAGAAATTGTTATCTTGATGAAATATTAACAGCTGCTGACCCACGGTAAAAAGTTACATAAAATCTAAAAAAAAAGCATAATTACCATAAAACAGCCATCTCCCCTCCCTCTTTTTTTATTTTAAAAACGTTTTGCAGAATAGATGAATATAACACCTCCAGGAGAGATTGACATTGAACTGCAGTGAAGTCTTGGAAGTTCTCACTAGCACGATTGTGTAGCGTAGGGGAGAAGGGAGAAGGCTATCGGGGCCAGAGCTGGCCCTTTGCTACTGCAGATTTTAGACAAGGAGAGTCCTGGCCTGGGAGTACAGTACCTAGAACAGGGGAGCTGGTTAAGATCCTACCATTTTCAGAGTCAAAAAATAGAAAGGAGATGGTTTTAAACACATGGAGAGAAATAATGCAAATTTCTTATAGGGTAGGAAGAAGGGAGCATGCCATTGTCTGTCGAGAGTGTACAAGGAAACGCATTCATCGTCAAAACTACAGAGAGAAAACAAGGGGTGGAGGTCCCACTTCCCTTGCCTGTTTCCAAAGATGATCAGGAACCGCTCTGACGGAGCCGCTGAGTGAAACGCGGACGTTTCCCGAGGGGCTGCAGGCTGCTCCCAGAGAAAGACGCGGGGGTGTGATCTCCTTAGCTCCTGCTGGCCTTCACTGAGCGCTGGAGCCTCCCTGGGAGCTGCCGGAATAGCTCCCATAGTCGTAGCTGCCGTAATATGGAGGCCACTGGCTCTGGTTCTGATAGTACT